CTTTTAAGGTTTTTCAAGAATTTTCTAGAAACCGCCGATAAACTTACTGAGACCCTCAAGAAATCTAGTGAGACCCTTGAGGTTGTGATAAAGGACCAACTAGAAATTAAGCATACACTGACTGAAATAAAGAATATTATTCAGACTCCCAACAGCAGACCAGAGGATCACAAGAATCAAGTCAAAGATTTGAAATACAAAGAAACAAAAAACACCCAACCAGAAAAGCAAAATGGAAAAAGAATCCAAAAATATGAAGATAGTATAAGGAGCCTCTGGGACAACTTCAAGTGTATCAACATCCGAATTATAGGGGTGCCAGAAGAAGAGAGAGAGCAAGATATTGAAAACCTATTTGAAGAAATAATGACAGAAAACTTCCCCTACCTGGTGAAAGAAATAGACTTAAAAGTCCAGGAAGCAAAGAGAACCCCAAACAAAAGGAATCCAAAGAGGACCACACCAAGACACATCATAATTAAAATGCCAAGAGCAAAAGACAAAGAGAGAATCTTAAAAGCAGCAAGAGAAAAAAAGTCAGTTACCTACAAGGGAATACCCATACGAGTGTCAGCTGATTTCTCAACAGAAACTATGCAGGCCAGAAGGGAGTGGCAAGAAATATTCAAAGTGATGAATACCAAGAACCTACAACCAAGATTACTTTATCCAGCAAAGCTATCATTCAGAATTGAAGGCCAGATAAAGAGCTTCACAGATAAGAACAAGCTAAAGGAGTTTATCACCACCAAACCAGTATTATATGAAATGCTGAAAGGTATCCTTTAAGAAGAGGAAGAAGAAGAAAAAGGTAAAGATACAAATTATGAACACCAAATACACATCTATCAACAAGTGAATCTAAAAATCAAGTGAATAAATAATCTGATGAACAGAATAAACTGGTGATTATAATAGAATCAGGGGCATAGAAAGGGAATGGACTGACTATTCTTGGGGGGGGCGGGTAAGGGGTGTGGGGGATGGGGGAAGAGACTGGACAAAAATCGTGCACCTATGAATGAGGACAGTGGGGGAGGGAGGAGGCCGGAGGGTGGGAGGGGAACCGGGTGGAAGGGAGCTATGGGGGGAAAAAAGAGGAACAACTGTAATAATCTGAACAATAAAGATTTAATTTTAAAAAAAAGAAGTTTATTTAGAAAGTCACAGAGGTAGAAGAAGTGAGCCAGCTGGGCTGCATGGACTCAGGAGACAAGTTACAGAAGCCGAAGGGCTATTGGAGTTTAGGAGATGGAAAGTGAAGATACTAGTACATGCCTTGAGGAAATAAGAGGACAGGAGGAAGGTACCAACAGAGGGAGACAGAGAGTGTGCAAGTGCACTGGGTCCCTTGCCTTAAGGATTTTTACCTGTTTTCTAAAGACAGGGACTTTAGGGGAGGACTCAGGGAAGGATCACACTAGAATATTCATCAGCTTTTAGTTGTGTCCTTTCAGGATTGGTGGTTTCTACTGATTGGTCTGCACTATGGTAGGAGGTCATTAGTCATTGCATCGGGTCCTGATGTCAGCGAAGGCATAGCTTCTTCTGGTTTTGCTGTGTTTCTGGGTTCGGAGCTGAAACACAACTGAGGCCTGGGTGTTATCTCTAGTTTGACCAAAACTCTGTGTTGATGGTCAACAGACCAGAGGCTTTGTTCCTAAGAATATCTGATGCTGATGAGAACCTCATTGTCCTGAGGGCTTAATGCTTAAGGAGGTGGTCACACAAGGAAGAAGGAGGCAGGTGAGGCAGGGTGCTGGATGAGGCCAGTGTGAATTAGCAATCTGTTTCACTTTCCCCATTCTACCTGCCAAGGAATTTTCCTAGCTTCTTACTCTCCTGCCTTTAGAATGAAAAAAGACACACATAAAAGAATACATAGTATACAATTACATTTCCATAAAATGCAAAATCAGGCAAAAATAAACTATAATGTTTATGGTTGGAAAGAAGAGAGGGTGATAGTGATTGAGAAGAAGGCAAAAACGGAAGCTTCTGGGGTACTGGTAATTTTTATTTCTTGACTTGTGATGATTACACAGCTGTGTTATCTTTTATTTAATTGAGCACTTATGATTTATATATTCTCATGTATGTTATAATTCAACTTTTTTAAAAAGTGGAAAGTTTTGGCTGCTGCACTAAGACTTCTCACTCTCTCACGGTGAAAGTTTACTCTGGAAATGAAATCAACACTTTATTTGGATCTGATTTTTAATGTGGACAAAAAGGGGCCACTTACTAAACCTGACTAGATCGGGGAGGCCTGCATGGTGGGCCTTACAAAACTCAAAGACTGAAAGTAACCACAGAGTGAGACAGTATAAGGACTTGGGCCCAAGAATGGAAGAATACTCAGTGACCAGGAAGCCAGTAAGATGCGGTAGCTAGAAGGAATATCAGATCTGAAGGTTACTACCCCGCCACACTCTGCTCAAAGCAATCGCAGAATTTTGTCTCCCTTCTAATAGCTTGCTTTTCCTGCCCTGACATGGAAAATTCCACAAACCTTCCTTTTCCCGAAAGCCCATTGTTTCTTTTTTCGGGCAAACCCACTTTGTCCCCAGCGTATAAACACAGCCAAGCAGACCCAGTCCCCAGGCCCATTCAGAAGGACCGTCCTTCCTTTTGTGCTGCCTCTTTTGTGCTCAAACATAAGCCTAATAAAAAAAATCTGTCTGGAAATTTCTCTGGGGTTCCTCTTGATTTCTACGTTGGGGAACTCAAGAACTCCAACACCAATAACAACAGGATGATCTGAACACAAGAAGTCCTAACTAAAAGCGAGTCGTGGCAGGTGGTGACATCCTAGGCCTATAGTTTCCTTGACAAAAGTCAATATTTACTTTAAGTAAGCCTGTCTATTGTCTTTTTTTTTTATTGTTTAAAGTATTACATATGCCTCCTTTTTCCCCAATTGACCCCCCCACACGCACACCCTCCAGGATAAGCCCCCGCTGCCCCAGTGTCTGTGTCCATTGGTTATGCTAATATGCATGCAAGTCTGTTGTCTTTTTGCATCTAAAATAACATACCCTTTGAGCCCTAGCCGGTTTGGCTCAGTGGATAGAGCATGGACCTGCGGACCCAAGGGTCCTGGGTTGATTCCAGTCAAGGGTATGTACCTCAGTTGCAGGCTCCTCCCTGGCCCAGGGCCTGGTCAGGACATGTGCAGGAGGCAACCAATTGATGTGTTTCTCTCACATCGATGTTTCTCTCTTCCTTTTCCTCTCTCTTCCACTCTCTCTAAAGCCAATGGGAAAATATCTTCGGATGAGGATTAACGGGAAATAAAATTAAAATAACATACCCTTTGAATGTTTAAGCAACCCCCTTTTTCCAGACCCTCAGAGTACAACCTCATACCACTGAGACCACAGAACCCCTCATTGTCATTTTGTTGTTGTTGTTTTTTAAAAGAATATTTGTACATATTTTTATTAATTTCAGAGAGAGGAAGAGAGAGATAGAAACAGCAATGATGAGAGAGAATCATTGATTGGCTGCCTCCTGCTCACTGCCCTCCCATAATTTAGGCATGTGCCCTGAATGGGAATCCAACCGTGACCTCCTGGTTCATGGGTCAATGCTCAACCACTGAGCCACACCAGCCAGGCAGAACCCCTCATTGTTATCTTGTTCCCCAAATACCATGTTCTACATGTTATAAGTGTTAATTGTTAACCATCCTGTATCCTCCAATTTAAAAGAAGTATGTGTCTCTCCATTTTATTCTTTTTTTAAAAAAATATTTTTTTATTGATTTCACAGAGGGAGGGAGGGAGGGAGAGAGAGAGAGAGAGATAAAAACATCAATGAGAGAGAATCATTGATCGGCTTCATCCTGCACAACCCCTACTGGGGATTGAGCCCGCAACCTGGGCGTATGCCCTGACCAAGAATCAAACTGTGACCTTCTGGTTCATAGGTTGACGCTCAACCACTGAGCCACGCCAGTTGAGCTCTGTTGTACTCTATCCAATCTCAGAGATTTCCCTGCTTTGATTTCTTCCACCTCCCTAATTTACCACCAATGAATTTCATGTAAATCCTCCCCCGCTTTCATGTAACATCTCCTCCTTTGATTCTAATGTATAAAGTAAGCTAGAAAACGGCCATTCTCTGGAGCATTTTCTCAATCCATTGAGATTTTGCTTCCTGCAATTGTCAGTTTGGCTCAAATAAATTCAGAAAAATTCTCTACAGGATTGGACGTTTCTTTTGTCAACATTAAAAAATTAGGGTTTCCATGCCAAACCCCTCCATGCTATTAGAATAAAGACCAATTTGTGAACTTTCTGTGTCCTGAGGTTAAACCACTTTTAAGAGAAACCAGAAATACATCTTTTTATGTGAAATATCATACTGTTTAAATATCAATAACCCATTCAATTGTTTTAAGCATGAGTTGAAACGGGCCAAACAAAATGCACCTATAGCTACATTAAACCCCCAAATTCCAGTTATGATCTATGGGCAAACAGGGAAATGCCTTCTCTTACAGGTATTCATAGCTTCTTGTCACAGCCAAGTTCTTTCAAAACACCACAAAGGTCACTCCAGCCAATTGCCCACTCGCCTTTTGGACAGGGATTTTTTTCTTGAATCCCTGACCTTTTCTGTGCTTAAAAAGCAGGACTGGACACCACAGACTTCTATCTCGTACACTGTGACAGAAAGGGTTAGAGAGCTAAAAACAATGTGAATTGCTCCCCTTCCCCTCCACTGGGATTTCCCTGGAACAATCTCTTCTGGGCTTGTGTTTCTAACTCCTTAATAGACCCCCAACACCCAACCACTGACCCTTCTCCTAAGGGTGAGGCTTCACCTTGCAATTGCTGCCGCTGGAGTCCTACTGAGGCAGACGGAAGGAAACTGAGAGCTCCCTCAGTCCCCTCTCCCGGATTTCAGGCAGTAATCAATTCAAACTTGAGGTTGCACAAGGAGAGAACAAATGAGCCAGTGACAAGAGGTAGTGGAGCAAGGGTAGTACTCACCGAAGCCAGAAAGACCAACACCACTGTCAGAATCTTGCGTTGCCCCGTGAATGAACCCATGGCGGTGTAGATTTTTCTCTGAAGTAACCAGTATGAATCATGGATCTAGGTGGAATATAAAATAAAAATTTAATAGGTCTTGTTAAGTTACTGAGTTACTTCTTGTAACTTTCCAAGAGAAGTACATGTTCTGCCTGATACTATAAACTATTCCAGACCACGTGTCTTTTAAAATCCACCTTTCTAAGTCCTAGGTTTCCCCCAGAATTTAAAGTCTCTTTTTCTGGACTTTGAAACAATTGCAGCTTCCAGTGAGCAGCGTCCAGTAAGATTCCATTCTGGGGTGCCACGTGTGCCTCTTGGTCTTTGCACTAATGACCTCTTTCACAATTGGGTTAGCTAATACTTCACCACACCGCCAAAAAACATCAGTGAGAGAACATACGTTGTCATTCACTTGTAAATTTTCATAAAATATATTTGGTGTTAATTGTAGTTCTTCTATTGATATATCATATCTCCAGAAGCAGGGATGGGGAACCTTTTTATCTGCCAAGGGCCATTTGGGTATTTATAATATCATTCGGGGGCCATACGAAATTATCAACTTAAAAATGAGCCTACAATATTTGGTCAAACATTTTTTTAAAATACATTTTATTGATTTTTTTTACAGAGAGGAAGGGAGAGGAAGAGAGATAGAGAGTTAGAAACATCGATGAGAGAAACATTGATTCAGCTGCCTCCTGCACACCCCGCACTGGGGATGTGCCCGCAACCAAGGTACATGCCCTTGACCGGAATCGAACCTGGGACCCTTGAGTCCACAGGCCGACGCTCTATCCACTGAGCCAAACTGGTCACGGCTTTGGTCAAACATTTAATTAATTCACCCTTAGTGCCTTAGCAGGGTTAGACCAGATGGTTTCATGGGCCTTATGTGGCCCGCCCGAGGCCCAGAGATTTCCCACCCCTGCATAATAGGAGGACTTTAGCATGCGGGAGAAGAGGACATCTATCTATCTGAGAGTGTCAGCATGGGTTATTCCAGAGGCTGACGGAGAGGTGACAGGTCTGAGTCAGAGTGGATTTCAGCGTGTTGATGCCCACCGCCCTGAAATACATACGATGAAATAATATAAGGTTAAATAAAGAGCTGGAATATCAAATCTGAAGAGAAATACAAATATGCCAAAACAATGATCAAAGGGAGGTGGGCGTGGCTGGGGAGGGGTCGATCGGGGGAAAAAGGAGACATATGTAATAGCTTAAACAATAAAAAAGAAAAACAACAACAACAACAATGATCAACATTGTTATTTGAACTTCACATTAGATTCTAAGACTGAATCAGCTGGATTAAAAAGGGCAGTACAAACCATATCAGAATTTCCTAACCTCCAGTCACACACTAGGAATTTCATATGATTTTGCCATATCCATATCCTGTCTACACTATTTTTTCTTAACATTTTTCTTTAAACTTACTCATTATAAAAATTCAGACATTCATTTTGAAGAGAGAAGCAATAATACCTACAAAAGATAGGTGTGGGCCCTGGCCAGTGTGGTCCAGTGGGTTGGAGTGCTGTCCTGTGCTGCGCCAGCACGGCCAAGGGTGAACCTGAGGAGGGGCGGTGAAGGATTGAAGAAAAGACAGACAAGAGAACACAGCTGGGGCTCGATGGATCTCCCATGCCTGGATGAGGACATGAAAGACCCAGCCTGCAAGCGGATGCTTTATTTTATAGTCTGATTAAAACAAGGGTAGGAAAAAAACCAAGATGGCGGCATAGGTAAACACCGGAGATTGCTGCCTCGCACAACCACTTCAAAAATACAACTAAAAGACGGAACTGACATCATCCAGAACCACAGGAAGGCTGGCTGAGTGGAAATTCTACAACTAGAAGGAAAGAGAAAAGCACACTGAGACTCAGAGGAGGTGCGGTGTGGAAGTAAAGAGCAGAGGTACGGAGGCGCACGCAGAAAGGGCTGGCAGCTGAGGATGCGGCACACGTGGAAAGGGCTGGCAGCTGAGGACACGGTTGTCTTTTTCAATCAGGAGGGAGTCTCAAGCTCCTGACTGCTCTGAACTCCAGTTCAGGGCGAGTCTCTGGGGACCCAGACTCATACAGGAGAAACTGGACTGTCTGGCATCAGTCAGAACTCGAGGGCGGCTTTCTCTCAGAGGTACTTGCAGCAATTACTGGGACACTGAGAAGCAGGACCTCTTAGGGTAGGATGAAGGAGTAGACATAGCTGCTTGCTCTGCCCTCTTGATCCCCAGAGACCCCGCCCCACCCAAGCTATGTGCAGAGGCTTTTGCATATGAAAGGCCTGACCCTTTGCAATCTGAAAATTACCTAACAAACTGCAGCTGGGTCAGAGAAACCCAGAACTTCCAAGCAGCTTGCATGGCCCCACAGCAGCTTGCATTGCTTCACAGCTTGGGCAGAGGCTAAATTAGCACCTCCTTAGATCCAGCACCTCCTTAGATCCAAGAGCCAGTGTACCCAGTGGTCAGAGTGGGACCATCCAATTACAACTCCTCAGATCCATAAGGGACACACTCAGGGGGCAGACTCAGGGAGCACCAAAGCCCCACTGAAGCAAGTCTTGCCCGATAAGGGTGTGTCCAGCACAGAAGTTCTCCCACTGCAGACACAGCTGATTCTCACAGCCAATTGGCCTGGAGGTCAATTCCTCCCAGTAATACCTACAACAATCAAGGCTTAACTACAACAAGACTGTGCACAAAGCCCACAAAGGGGTGCACCAAGAGCGTCCACCTCAGGTAATTGGGGAGGCTGAGCCACTGGGCCCTATAGGACACCTACCACAGAAAGCCACTCTATCAACACAAGGAAGCATAAAAAATGCAGAGACAAAGAAACAGGTCACAAATGACAGAAATGGAGGAAAGCAAACTACTGGATATAGGTTCAAAACCACACTTTTAAGGTTTTTCAAGAATTCTCTAGAAACCGCCAATAAATGTAGTGAGACCCTCAATAAATCTAGTGAGACCCTCGTGGTTATGAAAAAGGACCAACTAGAAATTAAGCATACACTGACTGAAATAAAGAATATTATACAGAGTTCCAACAGCAGACTAGAAGATCGCAAGAATCAAGTCAAAGATTTGAAATACAAAGAAGTAAAAAACACCCAACCAGAAAAACAAAAAGAAAAAAGACTCCAAAAATATGAAGATAGTGTAAGGAGCCTCTGGGACAACTTCAAGAGTACCAACATCCAAATTATGGGGGTGCCAGAGGAAGAGAGAGAACAAGATATTGAAAACCTATTTGAAGAAATAATGACAGAAAACTTCCCCTACCTGGTGAAAGAAATAGACTTAAAAGTCCAGGAAGCACATAGAACCCCAAACCAAAGGAATCCAAAGAGGACCACACCAAGACACATCATAATTAAAATGCCAAGAGCAAAATACAAAGAGAGAATCCTAAAAGCAGCAAGAGAAAGAAAATCAGTTACCTATAAGGGAGTACCCATACGAATGTCAGCTGATTTCTCAACAGAAACTTTGCAGGCCTGAAGCGAGTGGCAAGAAATATTCAAAGTGATGAGTACCAAGAACCTACAACCAAGACTACTTTATCCAGCAAAACTGTCATTCAGAATTGAAGGCCAGATAAAGAGCTTCACAGATAAGAACAAGCTAAAGGAGTTCATCACCACCAAACCAGTATTATATGAAATGCTGAAAGGTATCCTTTAAGAAGAGGAAGAAGAAGAAAAAGGTAAAGATACAAACTATGAACAACAAATACACATCTATCAACAAGTAAATCTAAAAATCAAGTGAATAAATAATCTGATGAACAGAATAAACTGATGAATATAATAGAATCAGGGGCATAGAAAGGGAGTGGACTGACTATTCTCTGGGGGAAAGGAGTGTGGGGGTTGGGGGAAGAGACTGGACAAAAATCGTGCACCTATGGATGAGGACAGTGAGGGGGGTAAGGGCAGAGGGTGGGGTGGGAACCAGGTGGAGGGGAGCTATGGGGGGAAAAAAGAGGAACAACTATAATAATCTGAACAATAAAGACTTAATTAAAAACAAACAAACAATAAGGGTAGATTAACATGTATACAAATGTGCTTGTTTTGGCAACACTTGCTGCACCTCCCACAGCCCATTAGCTACTTAGGAAGGAATTAGGGAGGGTTACAAGGTCAGGCTTAATTATGCTAGGGGAGTTCTGCCCTCCAGGCTGGGACTTGCTTGTGGCCCTGCCACAGGTCAGCCCAAGACTTGACCCTAGAGTTGTTCCCTACATTGTCCCATACACCAAAAGGTAGCGGCAGGTTCTATTCTTGGTCAGGGCACATACCTACGTTCAATACCTGGTTGGGAATGTGCAAGAGGCAACAGAATGATGTTTCTCACATCGATGTTTCTCTCTTTCTCTCTCTCTCTCTCTCTCTCTCTCTCTCTCTCAAATCAATTTTTTAAAAAGTAAAGGTGTGTGTATGTATGCTATTTATGAAAATTTCAAATTACAGAGGAGTATAAGGAAATAACAAAATTCCCACCACTCAGCTCTATCACATTGTAGCACTTTGATTTTGGGTAATGTTGAGGCAATATGACCCCAGTTTAGCCACGTGTTCTTAGTTTGCAAGTTTCTTTTCTTTTTTTCCCTCAACCTCTTTATTTTACAGATAAAGATATAAGACCCAGAAAGGTTATGACCTCTTCAAAAACACATAGCTAGCTGACATGTTCCAGAGCCTACAAACAGACCAAAAGTTTCCTGATACCCCATTTTCTTTCAACTTTCCTTCTCATGTTTTAATTATTTTTCTGTTCTTTGTGTCCTATTGATTTTTTTGCAAGTTTTTTTTTTATTTGTGTCAGTTTCAGATGTACAGCATAGTGTTTAGATCAGCAGTATTCAACCTGTGGGTCGCGACCCCTTTGGCGGTCGAAGGACCCTTTCACAGAGGTCACCTAAGACCATCCTGCATATCAGATATTTACATTACGATTCATAACAGTAGCAACATTACAGTTATGAAGTAGCAACGAAAATAATTTTATGGTTGGGTCACAACATGAGGAACTGTATTTA